ATAAATCACCATGAAAGAGAGGAGCACGTGTTGTTTATAGAGAGGGTAGGAAGAAGACGACAAAGAAGTTAAAACTGAAATTGGAAAACGTGGCCTTAATGACTCTTAACCTAAATCTCTAGGTTCAAAATTGGTTTAAGTTAAATTAAACCGAAAAAAATCTTAACCAAACTTCAAAATTAATTAAAACTAAATTCAATTAATCTAAACCGGAATCCACTTAATTTAACTCGAACTATATGTGAATTTTGGACAAAAACTCGGTATGTCCCACGCTAGTAATTAATTTTTTTTCAATAAGTCTGCCGTCAAAGACTACAATTACTAACATCTGCCACCAAATGAATATAAAATCTATCGCAAATTTAAATCGGTTAATAAAATCGGTCATAAATATATAAGTCTATTACCCATTAACATATCTATCTCAAAACTCTAAATACTCTGAAAAAACTGACGATCTCAACAAAATCGGTTACTTCATTCGACAGACTAAAAAGATAAATCTGTCGACAACCTTAAATCGGACATATAAATCTTCCATCCTTCAAAACATCTGCCGTGACCGAAAAATCTGCCACCAAATAAATGACAGATATAAATTTAACAACAGTTTTGTTCGACAGACTTATATCCCGATAGATTTATTTTTCGTTTAATAAATCTACCATCGGCGATTTTTAAAAAAATAACAATGGCAATTTGGTAATATGAAATTATGTTCATAACAAGAAACAAGGGTATTTTCGACCCAATTTTTTTAAAGTAATTTTAGACTTTTATGGCCTATTCTAGTATTTTCTTAACTAATTTGAGTCATTCGAATCAACTTCCCGATAGTTAAACCAAAAATTATATCATAGACTTACAAGTACATCTACAAATTTTAAGCTAACAACATAGACAAACAAAAAATTTGATAACTTCCTAATTATAACAGATTATCTTCTGAAAATCATTCAAGACCCTTATGATTAACTAACACACACTTTCATAAAAAAAAGTTTTGAAAAAAACTTAATGAATAATACACAAATCCACTTTTGATAGATTTTTCCTGGTAGACTACATATTCAGTCTACAGACGTGTAGACGTTTTATTCAGTTTACAGTCTGTAGACTGAAAATTAGGTCTACGTTTAGGTTGGTTTCAGCAATTGCCAAATTCACGGATTACTTTCTATATTTGAAAAAATATGTGATTTTATACGAGTAGACTTACTTTTTAGTCTACATTTTTAAAAAGGTTAGTTTTGCAATTGACCAGAATTCGTTCAGAGTTTGACTTTTAGAAGTAGACGTATTATGCAGTCTACATTTTTAAATTTGTTTGAAAGAGGTTAGTTTTGCAATTGACCAAAGTTGACTTTCTACGAGTAGACAAAACTAAATGTCTACGTAACTGTAGACTGCAGTAAAAGTCTACATTATAACCCGACAGGCTATTTTTGCAATTGACCAACATAAAATAGTAGACTTCTTATGTAGTCTACTTTTTTTTTCTAAGTTTTGTAGACTGCATATGAGGTCTACACGTAAAGTAAGTTTTAGTCAGCTTCTAAATATTTTAGTCAAATACAAAAGAAACCTATTCAACGAAGTCAAAGTTTTGGTCAAATGCAAAACTGACCTTCCGTAGACTTACCTAGCAGTCTACAAAGTGTAGACCTCCACGAAAGTCTACTATGGTAAGTCAAAATTTTGGTCAAATACAAATCTAACCTGTTTTATGTAGATTTCTTAGTAAGTCTACCAATTTTTTTGTTTTTGGTTTCAAAGGTAAAGACGTTGACGTACTTGTAGGTCTACATTACAAAAAAAATATTTTGGTCAATTGCAAAAGTAACCTGTGCGTTGACAAGTAGACTGCATCGTAAGTCTACACGTATGTGTAGACATATTATACAGTCTACTTTCGCGATACAGATCAGAGATATGACGAAAAGCATGTAAATAGTAACCTTGACACCGGTTTAAAGCTTGTTTCCAAGCTCTTCCACCGTCCAGAATCCAAATATGAGCAAAAGAAGCAACCTTTACGATTCACTTGTGGATAAAATCGAAACTATGAAGTTTGTGTTTATGAAAATGAGAGTTATGAGGATTGTTTAGATGAAAATAGAGAGGAAATGAGAGGAAATGAAGTATTGTTTGTTTCGAAAGTGAAATAAGTGGTTGAAAATTCATAAACACAAGCTTAAAGAGCTCATCAATGGTGGTTTTTGGTGGTTGCAAATATTGATGACAATGGCATTTTGGTAAATAAGGAGAAATGTTTAGGGTGTAATAGGTTTTTAATAATTTTCGAAAATAATATCAGATTTAATAATAATGGCAATTTGATAAATAGGTAGAAACATGAGGAGAGTTTAGGTTTTTTAAGAGTGAATAGTAATGACAAAAAAAGAGGTTGGTTTTGTGTTTGACTTGAATTTTTGGGTTGGTTTTGCAAAACCCCCATTATTTAATTGATGTTAACATGTATTTTGTATCATTTTTTCTTAAATGATGTAAATTAATATAGCTTTGTATCAATTTCATTGAAATGATGTTAAAAAATTTATAACAACATCATTTTACATAACTGATTCTGAAATATATCATTTATCAATAAATGATTTAAACTAATATCATTTATTTTTCTGATGCTAATTAAGTGATGTAATACAACCATTTTTTTGTAGTGTATGTTTTCTAGACATAACAAAAATAAGTATAATAAAATAAACTTTAGTAATGTTTTGGATAACACAATATAAATTATCTATACATATATTCTTTGCAAATTGATTTTTTCATAATTAAATATATATTAAAAATATAATTATTTTTCAAGGTTAATAAAGACTTTATAACATAATATAAAAAAGTTAGATAAGGATAATTATCAAAATCATGAAATTTGTTTTTAATTTAGAATTAATTATATATTAACAAATATAATTATTTTTCAAGGTTAATAAAGACTTTATAACCCAATATAAAATAGTTTTAGATAAAGATAAATCTAAAATCAATTGAAATTCATTTTTTTATTTATGTTTAATTATATATTGAAATTTTTAATTATTCATTACGGATATAAACGATATTAACCAGTCTAACTTTTAACGTGAGAGCTTCATTGCGAAAAATCACTTCGCAAATAATAGTATAGATTCCTCAACTAACAAAATTCATAAAAAAATTCTTTAACTAAAAATTTGAGAAAATAAACTTTTAATTTTAATTAAATTAACATATGTTACCATCCGTCTGCAATACTCTAACGGAGGATGATAAACATTAACAAAATAAAAACTAAGGGTTATAATATTGAAATAGTTGATGAGTTTTCTTCCGATTTAAAAATAGTTAAAAGATTCTATAATTAAATATAATTAATATATTAAAACTTTAATCATTATGATTTTTTTAAGAACTCTTATAATCAATCTATAAGCCTTTAAAACTAATTTATAAATCCTTGTTAATTAATTAATTCATAAATCTTGAATTAGTTATCCTCAACACTACTAAATAACTTAGTAACTTAGTAATTTAAAATTATTTAATATTTGACAATAGTGATATAAGAAAAAAAAAATTTCTTCTTGTTTTTTTTTATTGTACTTCATGTTTCCGTTGTATTACGAATAAACATGCATTATATTATCTACCACAAGTAGTATGAATTGTAAAAGCGTATAAAATTGATATTAAGTCTTATTAATCATTTGTAAAACTTTTAAAATATGTATATATCTTTATAAATTAGTTATAAGATTGATGAAGTAATACATAAAGATTTATAAATTAATTTTAAGGCTTATAGCTGATTAAATAATACGTGTGTATTGCAAATATTAGTGTATGGTTTCAAAAATAGATATATACATTAAGGTGGTGGCGAGACTTTTATGTAATGGAAAATATTTTAAAAGTTGCTGAATTTTAGAGCATAACTATTATTTCTGAATTAAGTTCAAATTTTTATATTATACTTCTTCCATTCCATTTTGTTTGCCGTTTTAGAAAAAAAAATTGTTGCAAAGTAAGTGTCGTTTTATTATTTCAATGCAGAATTTATTAGTTTTATCTATTTTCTATTGGTTAAAATGTGGTTAGATGTATAGGTAATTGTATTTTTATTTTAAAAAAAATACAAAATTAAATCATTTTTTAATCTATGTACACAAACTTAAAATGACAACTAAAATGAAACGGAAGAATATTATAGATTTGAAGAGCTAAACGCTATTTAATGTGATAGTTGTTTTTAAGAAACTATAATTTTATATTGTAGATATAATGGAAAATAGATATTTAATATGTCTCGTCATAAGTGTCATTTTAGATTTATGCATATAGATTGAAGAAACAATTAGTTTTGTATATTTTGCATATAAAACATAATTGTCTATACATTTAATCATATTTTAATCAATAAAAAATAAATTGTAAAATAAATTTAATAATTTTATATTGAAAACTGAAAATAACATTTATTTTGTAATGATTTTTTTTTCTACTATGACATTTAATATAAACGGATGGAAGATTACATTAGTAGATAAATGGAAAAAAAAAATCAGATATTAAATAGTTTATATGGAAAACCCCCTTTAAAGTTTCTACTATCTACTGTCTACATCTGATTCGTAAGACAAGTCATCAACCTATGTAAAACGATTTTTTTCATGTGCTACGCTCTTCTTTATACGGTGTCAGTGACACTACAGTTTTCTTTTAATCAGTCAGCAATTGATATAGTAAAATTATCGCACCCGGACTATTAATTAATCAACTAAGACAAGACTAACGCCTACACAAATTCATAAGTCTAGTACACTATCCAAATTCCAAACATATGAGAGCATGAGCCACCAACTTAAGTAAAACCATACAAAACAGTACATTTTTACCATACCTTTTTGTATTTTCTTAAGTAACGTGAGTATTTTTTTGTGTTTTTTGTCAATCATAACTTAAGTTAAATTTTAAAAAATGTTTCTAGTTTAGGACAAACAATTGTTATTGTACTCATAACAAAGAAAAAATATCGAAAATGGTCACAATAATTTTACATAGTATTCAACAAGATTAATTATCATAATGTAAAAAGGTTATGATAAATTAATTATCATAACTCATAATAAATTTCATAAATCAAACACCCGCTTCTTCCTACGATGCATTTTTTCTACTAAGAACTATATCGAGATATGCAAGCAATATGGATTAAATCTCTAGCCACCCACAAACCTCAACCATAGATTCACGAAGAAGAAAAAAATTTAGAACTTGAGAGTTATTTCACTTCCATCAATATTGCTATGATCGCCACTTTCTTCCCTAAGAGCAGCTAATCCTTTTCTCTCCCCACCACCAGTACTCTCTGGCGATTTCCCTTCATCAACGACATTGTCCGTTAACTGATGATGAGCTGAATCTGTGGATGCGGAGCCATCCCCAGATGAGCCGTTACACGTTTGGAAGTGGTGGTGGTGGTGGAGCTGTGGAGGAGCTGTGCAGAATTCTTGAGAGGAGCAAAAGTGTGGTGGAGGCTGCGCCACTGCGTTGCCGTGGTGGTGGTAGAGAGTCGGAGTGCCTCCGTGTGCGGTGGTGTACTCTGGTGGGACCCATATACCACCTAGGACCACTAAGTGAGGACCTTGACCACCTGATGTTTGTGGGCTTGGGCTTGGTCTTCTTGTGTGAAGCCGATACTTCTGTTTGAAAGTAATATAAAGCAATTAATCATGAGTTCAAGATTATTTTTTTTAAAGTAAGCATATTGTTGTGGCTTGTGATGTAGGTTACCTGGAGATGACTTTTAACTTCATCGTTGGTCAAACCATCAACTTTCATAAGTTCCCTTATCTGTTTCGGTGTAGCCACTGTAATAGTACAAAAAGTTAAATCACCATATAATTTGGATTTATTCTAGCATATCAAATCAATCGATTCAAAAATACAAACTTTATTTAAATAAGTTAAACTGGTCATGTTTATCCATCCAACCTAACAAACTGAAATTAAATCAAAATTTAAATTTATTTCAAAATACACTATATTTTCATTGAGAACTAAATATGAATCTTCATTTTAATCGTCTCAAGTTGAGCTCCACAGTGAATTCTCGTTACTATATTTTTATACACTGAAAAGCTAAAAAATCCGACTAAAACTTTAGTGATTTCGAAAATTTATGACTGCTAAATGAACAACAGTAAAATTAAACCAAGGCAAAACGAACCATACTAAATATATTTACAGTTAAGTAATTTTGTGAGAAAGAGTTCACTTAGTATTATAACAAAATCCAAACTAAAATTTATATCCTCTGAGACACCTAAATATGAATTCAGAGTTGTATATGTAACCTGACGATCCAATATGTTATAATGAAAAATCATTGTGACTAGTTGATGATTATGTGAATATATCCCTGGTAAACCTACATCAAACTGAAACATATATAATTCACTAACTTTTACAAATTTGTACCTTGAGAACCACCTAGCATTTGAAGAGCTTGGACAAATCTCCGGTGCAAATCCGGCGACCAACAACGCCGTGCCTTTCTATTACTTTGACTTGTTGTCGAAGAAACTCCATTGCTATTTGAATTCTTATTATTATTATTGTTGTTGTTATTACCACCGTTGATCATGCTCTCATCATTACCGTCGTGGTCATTAGCATGTTCATTGGTCGGAGAGACTCTTTTGACCTCCGTAGATAGAGCTAGTTCAGGCAATGATTTTTCCTTCGAGAAAGGAAGAAAAGCCCCACCACCATTTCTTTGTTTCACATCAAAATGTCTCAGTTCTGGACTACTAGCAAGCTCGTCTTTAGAACACTGATTCGTAGTTGGATCAATGTTTTTTGGTTTGGTTTCGGGTTGGCTCCAAAGCTGAGCAGTCTTCATCCAATTATTTCCTTTGTTGTTCTCCTTTTCGGGTTGGTTTCTTAAGGGCATGAACTCTTCAAGAATCGGTCTTGTGACAACACTTTGGTTGTTGTTATTACCATTTGCTCGATATGCTTCTAGCTGTTGTTTGTAAACTTCCACAGCTGAAAGGATTTTAAAGATGTTTGAAACACAAGAAAGTTAAAGATGCTAACGTGAAATTTGTTTATTTCAGTGATGGGAGGAATTAACAAAAGTTTTGTGATTCAAAGAATTCAAAAGCAAGCTCTGATTTTTATGAGTTAAATTCCTAAATTAATAAATAAAGATCTTTTGAAAAGGTAAAAAGAAATTCAAAAACTCTTCTAGACGTATAACAAAATGATGTTTTTATATGTTAGGTTTCTGTTCTCGTTTTAACTTTTAATTCATTTGTTCTTTTGTGGCAAATGAAAGATTTTTAATTCATCTATACAAAACTATATATGTAACTGTAAATATTTGTAACTGGATATATGTACCATTGTTAAGGAGCTGCATGCAAAGGGGAAGCTCGCGCTTGAAGGCATCAATCTTGAGTCGTTCCTGTTCGAGACGAGAAAGAAGATCTTCAAGCTTCTGTGTGGTTTGATCGCTCTGAAAATTATCTCCAAATGATTTCAAAAGCATAGAGTAGCTTTGTGGCTTGCAATCCAAGCTTAGTTCTGATGAGGAAGCCATATATATCGTCTATAGACTCTCTTATAAGTGTGTATGTAAGGAAAGTATATATTAATGTGTTTTTGGTTATAAATAGATGATCAAGGAATCAAGAAGAATTTGTGGTGGCACTTCAAGTTTCAGATGATGTGTATATGCTGGATATTTCTTAGAAATATATTCAATGATTTTGAGGGTTTGTGAAAATTAGGGTTCGGTTGAGAAAGAGAGAATGAAGAAGATAGATGAAAAGGGGAATAAAATGTTAGGTTGTGGACACAAGGAGGATCACGAGGAGGTTCCAGTCCTTTTAGAAGGCTCAATTCAAAGGGTGGGAGAGAATAAAGTGATCTGTCATCATACACAAACATATATAATATATGTATCTGTATATAGTGAGAGAGACATGGGTGTTCTAAATACTCTCATTTATTAATGAGCCAGTGACTACGAATGCTGCTCTCAAAAGCCTTAGTTTCTACCATGCATAGATTGTTTCGTATATGGTTTCTTGTCATATTTTATGGGTTTTACACTAAAATATACTTTGGATATATATTGAAGATTTGGTTGCTGAACAATTTTCATAGTATATATTGTTGTAGCGGCTAAAAAACGATGCGGTTAGAAACATATATAGTGTTTTAAATAAAAACTAGATTTTGACCCGTACATCCGTGCGGGTAAAACTTTCATTTTATAAATATAAATTTTTATACTATATGTAATATTGAATCATTTTTATATAATATATTTCTGTCATTTTAAAAATAAATAAATAGCTAATATATAGTTCTAGATATTAAAAATTAACATATGTTAACAATCTTATTTTCTATAAAATTTATTACATAATTTAGGAATGTTAAATATCTTTAAAAGGTAACTGATATTTTAGTCAATGAAATGGTGGATGATATTTTATTTATTTATTTAAATGATTTTTTCTCAAAATTTACCAATTTAATATAATTTTTATATGTAATTCATTTATTACTATTATTTTAATATAATATAGACTATACATATAAAATTTATAAAATTAGCATATAATTTATTATATTTTGTTTATAATACAATATTAATTAATATTAATTTATAATAATATTATACTACTAATTACGAAATTAATCAGTGTATTCTTCAAATAATATTTAAATTTTTATAAAGATTTTGTTAATTTTGTCTCAAAATATTTTGTGATTACTAAAACTAAAATTTAAAATTACATTCAAAATAGATTATTTAGAAATGTTATACATTAAATAAACTAATGTAAATAATCAAAAAAAAAATGTAACTGAATATATAGATTTAGTATGACTATTTTGTAGTAGATAAAAATGGTATTTCTCTTTTAATAGAGAATACTAGATTTTGACCCGCACAATCGTGCGGGTAATTATTTTTATTTTTACAGACATTAATTATTTATTGTACATGATTATATGTAATATTAACCCTATTATTAATTGTTTAATATATATTATTAAAACATAATATTTTTATAGTTCACATGAAATAATTTTATTTATTTGTTTTAAATTTTCAGTGATAACATATTTTAAATCATGTGATACAAATTCTAAATCAAAATATTATTGGTTAAAATGAAAACATTTAATTGAAAAGTATTATATTAAATTAGTATCACAAATTTAATACATAAATTTACATGATTTTATTTATAATTAATTTTATATTAAATTTTTTATTTTAGTTAAAGTGAAATATAGGTTTGATTTTTAAATAATCACAAAACTAACTAAGTATTTTCTTAAGAAACTAAGTAAAAAAACGAAATACACATTTATTTTTAATAAATACGAAATTAATAAATATTTTATAGGTTTATTTTAATGAAAATGGAATATATATATATATATATATATATATATTTATTGTAAATAAAAAGATATGAAAAGATTTTATCCAGATATAATTTCAGAGAAGATGTAGGAAATAATTCAAATAATTCATATGTTCATACATAATATGATTTAAATAATTATCTAAAGGTTGGTCCAAACTAAAAACTCACACATAAACTAAGTCATGACTTCTGTTTTAATATATAAGATATGATCAAAAGAAATTAATTGGAAAACGAAAAAATTTTATACAACTATGTGTATTTAGACCATCTTTAATTTATTTTACTATTTTTATTTCTGAAATAGAGTAATTCTATATAATAGAAACGAAATTTACTCCAATATATTTTTCCAAAATGATAATCTCTAAATATAGAATAAGAAATAGAAAATATTGTTTTTCCTTTTATAAATCGAGGAAAAATAGTAATTTTATTGCAAAAATAAAAACTAGAGATGTATTGAAGTAATTTACCTTATATATATATATATATATATATATATATATATATTATAAAGGCAAATATAAAAATTGATTGGAAAATTTTTCTCTTAGACACAACAATTCAATTGGTTATTTTCACTAAAAGTGAAAACTATTTAGCGGCTGTGGCTAAGTACTCATAGCTTATAATAAATATACTTTAATCTTTAATAGTCAAATCATTATATGAGTTTTGCAGTAGCACAATATCATACTTAGTAAAAATATTCATGGCTCCTAAGTTAAACTACGACCACTTGATTTGTTATTGACTTAGTGCTAGTTTTTTTTTTATCTTATTACTTAGTTTATAGTCTCTACACTTCTTCTGTCAATTTATTATATTTTATATTAAATTAATCTATTTAATACATTGGCAGAGAGACTATATATATCTAAAGGTCGTTCATTCAATTTTTTATATAATATAGTTCCATTTGAAAGAAAGAGAAAAGAGAGGCTAAAGGAAAAAAGAGTAGGATATAAAGCAGCAGAGAGCAAAAGGGAATATATGGAAACTTGTTATAAAGAACAAATGGGTAAGAAAAAGCTTTAAATATATTCCGCTGTGTTGGTTCACCACTTCGCAACTTACATATCCTTTTGTGAATTCAGTTTTTTTCTGTTGCTAAAATCTGTTTCCTAGCTGTGCTACTGTTTTATATAAATGATTTAAGCTGTTCAAAAAATAGGTTTAGGCTGAAGTTTTTGATTCTTCTCATATTTTCCGGACATTTCTGAAAAGAGAAATATGTTTTAAGCTATGTATGGAAATGAATCAGTAGTACACGTTTTAGTACATTTACGGTAATTTAGAATCGTTGCCAAAGAGCACGAAGCATATAAGAAAAGAAGAGAGAGTTGAGATTCAAAAAATATCGAAGAAGCATATATTACTAGCTAGGCAACAAGATTTTTATATTTACACACGAGAGAAAGACAGAGAGACGTATACAGATAACGATTGATCAGTTATCTTTTTCAAAATCGAATTTTTGATTTATTTTTTTATAGAAAATGTCGCGAATTTTCTAAAGTTGTGTAATTGTTCTAAAATTTAGTGGATGCAAAAGAGAGAATGAAAGGGAATATCTGAATTAATTGATTACCATAAACTAGGACAATGGGACAGATATTCAATTAAATAATAATGAAATAAGTTTTAGAGTCGCAGAATCTTCCAACCGGGCATTAGTGAAGTGGCTAGGAAGGTAGAAGATTCTTGCATAGAAATATTATAAACCTTTTCAAAGACATTTTTAGCTCGCATTTTTTAGATCTGTATTGCATTGTCTTTCATAGTTTTATTCTATCTAGCTTCAGTGATAATCAATGAACTAATTTGGTAGCCTTAGAGGCTTAGTAGATCTACCTAGATGTTTATATCAATTTGATTTTGATATCAATCTGATCATTTTGTCAAATGTGATTCCTGAGACGAAACTAATATTACATGATGTATTTTCAAGTATGAAAAATTATAGGAATCAACTTTAAATCTCGTGACATTTAATTTAAATCAAAAGTATTCTTAACATTTTAAACAATTTCACAATAATCAATTTTCATCAGAGCATTTTTAACAGTAGAATCTAAATCTAAAAACAATATATAAACAAGAGAAAATAAAAAAATAAGAGAGAGGTGATGCAGAATGCTAAAACCGTTTCTCTACAAAACATCTCTAACATTTATATAAGCACTTATATCTACACATGGTTAACTTCTACTGGTTTATAAATTATTTAGATTTTAAAATAATTATCATCACTAAATTGAAATGAAGTCATATTATAAATCTGGGAAGTAACTCTCTCCGAGATACTATACATTAATGTTGTTGTTATATCTAAGAGCAACATTATCAGACAATATTTCTAAATAAGTATTTGCCAGAGTTTTGTTTAAAAATTAGTATTTATTTCATTTTTTTTTTAATTTGAACCAACTATATATTGACATTTAGCTTGATACCCTTCTGAAAACATCAATTTTCCTTTTTTTATCTCTCCAACTGTTTCTTTCTTTTTTTTTGTTTAAAGCCAACTGTTTCTTTTCTTTTTTAATTTTTGGTATTAGTGAGATACTTGTCTTCATACTAGCAATGGAGCTGCTCTATGACTATATATATATATATATATGTAACTAAATACTCTAGTTGTGTAATCAATCATGTTGTGAAATGAATAATACAAAAAATACTTAAAAATATAAACGATGGACGGAACGTAACTTGGACTACTCGTATCTTTTTCACTTTTAGAGGCCACGAAAGTACAAAATTGAACTCTTTTAGTTTTGCAAGGCGACAAAGAAAAAAACGACTTTTGAAAAATGTATAGTTTTTGACATAAGTTTTAGTGACTTAGGTATATTCTTGTATTTCTCTATTATTAATTAGATTGTTTGTGTATAGAGAAGAAATTAAAGTCTTTAGTTTTTGCCGAATCATTAGCCTTTGCTAATCTCGAGTTTAGGTGGGTCAAGAACAAGAACCAGGTTAGATTAATATCCGGGTCATAACCGTTCGGTCGGACCAACTTGGTCAATTAGATTTCAAACTCTCGTTAATAAAAAAAAATCTATACTATTAAAGCAGAATCCTATTGTTAAAATTTTGGATTCTACCCCTAGATTTTTATTATATTTATTAGATAATACCA